TCATCAAGCTGCACACTATGAACTAAGAAACGAAAGAAAGGAAGGGCAATGAGACTAGAGAAGAGGTTGCTCACAGGTAGACTGGCGGCGTCACTAAGGACTGTGAGCTCCCCTTTAAGGGGGAAAGGGTGCCCCTGATGGGTTCAAAGGGGAGTGGCATGTCGGGATTGGGCTCTTAGGCAGATACTTCAGCTACAAAGCAAAATGTGAGCTGGAGGAATTCTGGGACACAAGTGTGTGAGGAGCCTGCACTGGTCCATGAGATATAAGGATGGCCTGGACCAACGAGTTCAGGTGACGACAGAGCAGGGGATGGATTGGGGGGTGGGGCGGGGGGGAGGAAGCTACTTAGAACACCCATCTATGAGAAGTGAAGAACACAGTTACTAAGACAATGTGGACGAGTATATAGGCTGAGAGTGAAGGGAGTGGAAGGGTGAGTTGTTTCTTAGGTGCTTATGCAACGCCTACGAGGAAATGCAGAGTCGGCAGTTGGATACACTTGCCAAAGCTCAGAAGAAAGGTCTGATCTGGAGATGAAAGAAAAAATCCCTCAAGACAACTACAATTTTGGCACATTTTCTCCTTTTTCCTTAGTTTCAAAACAGTTGTTTTACACTGACAAGTCTGCTCTTAACTAAACAGCAGAACATACATACTTTTGCTTTAACTCCCTAAACAATTTCACATTAAATTACTTTAAAACAGGCCGTTCTCCTTGGGAGAAGGCCCGTAGGCAGCAGCCATGGTGCCCAGCCGAAATGGCATGATCCTAAAGCCCCACTTCCACAAGGACCGGCAGCGGCGCGTTTGCCACGTGGTTTAACCAGCCCGCAAGACGCAAGGCCAGGCAAGCCAAAGCGCCGCATCCCCCTCTGACCCATCCGACCCATTCTATCCATAGTGAGATGCCCCACGATGACAAGGAACCACCCTTCAGCCTGGAAGGGTTAAGGGCGGCTGGCATCCACAAAAAGGTGGCCTGGACCACTGGGATCTCGGTGGGTCCCTGCAGGCCAATGTGCAGCGGCTACTCCAAGCCCATCCTCTCCCCCAGGAAGCCTTCGGCCCCCAAGAAGGGAGACAGTTCTGCTGGAAAACTCAAATTGGCCACCCAGCTGAGCGGACCAGTCATGCCCGTCCGGAATGTCTATAAGAAGGAGAAAGCCAGGGTCATCGCAGAGGAGGAGAACTTCAAGGCTTTTGCCAGTCTTCGCCTGGCCCGGGCCAATGCCCGGCTCTTTGGCATCAGGACAGAAAGAGCCAAAGAAGCTGCAGAACAGGATGTTGAAAAGAAAAAATAAAGTGCTGTTGGCAACCAAAACTGTGGCACATCTACACAGTGTAATA